GTTTTCGTACGCGTTTGGCCAATCAATGTCTACTTACGTCACGATTAGTACCAGTTGTGCTGGTTAGACCCTGCTCCGGAGTAGGAGCTAATTTGGTTCTCGAAAAAGGCAGTCCGGTACTAAAATCGCACCCAGTTCCGGCGGTGCGAAAACGGCAAAAAGTGGGTAGTTCCACAATTAGTTCTGGTACTATGAAAAGGCTCCCGCGGTGCGAAAGGCCCCAATGACAGAATTTTCATTTTTGGGTGAACTATCCCTTTAAGTGTCAAATGTGAAGCCATGCAATTCACACTATTAACATAATATTGCGCCACTTAGTTCTGCAATAAGCAACAAATGCGTTGTTCTTAACCCCAACAATCTTAACACCTTCCTTATCACTAATCTTACACTTTGCTGAAGTGGAACTAAGTGAAGAACCAGTAACTCAAAGGGCAAAACAGCAGAGGCAACATAAATGCATTTACACTGGAATTACAATTGCAGTGTTAATGTTATAATATCAATATTTAAAATAATTCTAATGATGCTCAAAAAAAGCTGTATATCCAAATCAGTAAAGTCTGAATTCAACCTACCCTGCTGGTAAACCCAGCTTAAACTAGATGGGTTTTAAAACAGTAGCTGGTTTCTAGCTAGTCTAGAATGGTAAAACATCTTAAACCAGCAAATAATAGCTACTAGTTGGTTATTCCGGTTTATACGGTGGACAAGCTGGTTTTTGGGACATGGTCAACCAGCTAATGCCCAACAAGGAACTAGCTAACATGTTCAAAACACAGTCATCAGCTTACTAACAAGGTGGTCTAGATGATAACCCCTATTTTCTGCTAAACTTGCTGCTTAAATCTACCCAAAACTCGATCTAAAGCCATCAAACCACAGCTGAATGGATTCAGCAATGGATACAAATAAACCCCGACAACAGTCCAAACACATGTGACCACCGCCACTTCCCAACACAGCTACTGTTTATGGTTCAAAAAGCTTCACTGCGGCCTTAACGGACACTATTTGCAATGCAGTGCATATCGTTAATGTTTATTAGTGGGCGAGGGTGCTGTGGCGCAGTAGGCCCGCTCATGAACGCACCGATCTCTGCAGCTCTCCCAGCCAGACCGAGGCGCGCTCCTTGCCGGCAGGGTCCGGGTCGTGATACAGCGCCTGCACGGCCTGGTAAACCAGCGGCAGGGTGGGTTTCCCGCCTTCCATAGCGTTCTTCTGTTTCTAGAGGGTGTAGATATGGGGTAAATAACACGGCTTGCGCTTCTCTGAAGGTTGTAGACGCGCAGGTTGACTGTTTATTGGGCCCTCGCGTTCTCCGATCTGGCCGCCATCTCAAGCAGACATACGGCGCTCCTGTCAAACAAGTCCGTGTGGAAACCGCGGCACAGGAACTAAAATGAGTCCGGACTACAGCGATTTTATAATAATAACGCGCTATTCGTGCAGTTCTTGGAAATATATCCTCTTCTGAACAGGAACAGGTTGGAATGAACGTATTTTAACGTTTGTGATTTGAGTATATGACGAGGTATACTTGTTACGTGGATAATTTCATTAGAGACACACCCACTGCTACACACCATTTAAGGGTCACGCTCATGAAAAGGTGACGGATTCGATTAACGCTTCGATTCATTTAGGATTTTCAAGGAAGAAACACTTTAGGGGGAAAGGCACTTATTTAATTTACTGCAATCAGCAGAACAGAAGTAAAAACAAAAAACAAAACAGAAATTAATTAAATTAAATACAATGTTTTCAAAAGGTATGTTTACACTTTTTTTTTAGAGTCGGGATCAATGCAGTCCTGTTAATTAGTCCCAAAGTATAGATTGCCTAAAATATTAAACCAAACAAGTGAGATTTATTTATTCAATAAAATACCACTGATTACAATAAAATACATAAACTACATTTTATTTAAACAGTCAGTCAAGTGTCTGATTTAAGTCTAATAAGTCTTAATAAGCCACACATAGCATAACACAGTAGAAGTTCTGGTTCATTTCAAGTCAGATACGGTAAAATATCTTTTACTTGTTAGAATTCAACTGAATTCGGTCAGTACCCGCCCCGACTGGTGTGTTTTGATTCACTAAAAAGAACCGGTTCAGAAGAGTCATTCGTGAGGGAATCGGACTACACTGGACGTCCTGAATGTTGATTCACCAAAAGAACTAAATAATAAAAGCAATTCATTCGTGTATTTCAGTATTGCTGTGCTGTTGTTATTATCTATATTATATGGCTAGTAATTTACACTTTATTGATTACATTGGTTGTTCGACAAACAATGGTCTAATAGCATATTTTATTACGTTATTAACCCTACATTTATTAATAGGCTATTTTTACTTTATGACCTACATTTCTGCTGTACAAGTTGCACATAAGAATCAGTCACTGAACAAATCATAGATGCTGAACACTAATCTGTAGTGATGGGCGAAATGAAGCCTCATGAAGCACTGAAGACTGTTCTGGGGAAAGATTCAAAGCTTTGAGAGTGTCGGAAAAAGCGCCATCTGGTGGTTAGTAAAAATAAAGCAGCCAAAAGCCTGTGAAAGAAGCTGCGTAGGACGAAGCAGCCACCACATATTCCATAAAAATAAAAACCTAACAGTGTGTGTGCGTGTGTTGAATTTCTCTCTCTGATAAATTCATTTACCCATTAAACTGTGGCATTAAATGCCAGTACGAATATCAATATGATGTAATAGAATAATAATAATGTACGCATATATGAATTGCATATGGCAAATATTTTATTTTCCTGAAATAATTTGTATTCTTCATATTACTTGTATGACTGGGTATTTAAAAATGTAATTGCATAAGTCTGAATGAAAACTTACTAGTAAAGTAAGATCTGGGGATATGGAGTGACACTTTCATAAACTTTTCTATACCCCTCTGATTATATAATGGTAAATATTACAATATCATAGCACAACAACAGTGATAAGCATTAATGATAAGCCTAATACTCACAATAAAAATAATAAGGTCATATAGAGCATAACACAGTCTCGGAGATAAGAAGTGGATTATCCTTCACCTGAAATGTTTGTCTTTTCATCCTGAAATGCGAGGCAAATGTTGGATCACAATAATTAGGAACCACAGTTTCCACAAATCCCTTCATTTGATTGGGATGCTCTCTTTTATTCTGGACGGCAAGGGCAGTTATTGTAACATCGAGCGTATTTTGCAGTATTAAACACGTATTTATACCGATTTCATCAGGCTCCGAAAATTCTTCAAAAAGAACACAAAGAATGGCCTTCTCAGCTGCCATAGTTGCAACTCTTGCGTCATCAGAACAGTGTGTTCAACGCACCACCGTTTCCGTTTAAAAAACATTTTGCACCGTTTTGTCGGGGCTGAACGCAGCCCTGGCACGTCCATTTATTCTCGACACGAGCTCTGATGCCTCGGTTCAATGTTACATCACTACTAATCTGAATAGCCTGCTACAAATCCTACAAATTTCACTGTTTTGAGAATGACTCTGTGCTTAAATAAAATAATAGGCTATATTTTTAATACATTAGTAGGCTATAATTCATTTTTAAATAGAATATTTTACAAACATTTATCATATTACTGAATTTACTAGTTTCTGCATATAGAAATGCAATTAATTTATGTGAAATGACAAGTAGGAATAGGAATTAAAAAATCGCTTTAGCTGATAGCTAGTTGTTTTCTAATATGTTTTAAATATATTATAATATGGGGAAAAAAATATCATGAGATCATATTTTGTTTTGCAGACAAGTTTCAACCTCTTGAGTGTCTTTTTCCCAGTCTCCCTCTTTCATGTTTCTTTTCTCTTTTTTTTTTGTTTCTTTTTTTCTTCTTCTCACATACACATGCTTCTCTCACACACTGGCATAACAGACTAAAATAAAAAAGATCATCCAAGCAGCAAAATTCCATATAGATGGCTTTAATACACATACATGTATATTTCAGTTTTAATATCAAAAATCCAATCTATTTTTATTCACACACATTCAATGAATTTAAACAAATTTGGTTCAATTATCATTTACTGATATGAAGTTGATAAAGGTGCATTACGCAGTTCATCTCTATAATTACCAGGATGTCCATTACCTTCCTGTAACCCAGGTCGTATCATACCCATGCAACTCAGATACATAGCTTGGTTACAATACAAACCCGGGTCAATGGATGGCTTCTGCCTTTCATGAATTAGATCATTCCACATTTATAAGTCTACAAAATCAACACACTGTACAAAATATCTGACACAAACATAAGTGCATTCTTATTTCAACTTTTACAAGTAGCACATTTGATTTCATCAAGAAGTTGGAGGGGGAAAAAATGCAATATAAACTAAAATAAGTAAATTGTCAAACATGCCGGTCATTAATACTACAAAATTTGTGTGGATTATGTTAACATAATCCATAGTATATCTATGTATATAAACAGAAAACATATTTCTCCCAGAGAGTTCAAATTAAAGACCTACAAACAATCAATTAAACAGAACTGCAAAATTTAGCTTTTGATTGTTTCTGTCTATGCAAATAAAGAACGCAAAATAAACAAGCTGAACTTACAAAACCAAAAGAGGCGTTACTTAGCATTAGCAATGAATAAATTATCAGGCTATGATGAATTTCTTCATTTTATAAGTTATAATGAATCAATATCATTAACCAGACGCTTGTAACCTATAAAAACAATACTTACCATGCCGAAACCAAAGAAAAGTAATGAGAGAGAGGGGAAGGGAAGATTCTCAGAGGAGAAATGAAGGAACTAAAATGAGGTGTAAAAAAAAAGAGGCCGGGTGTATTGGATTTACAGTTTAACACTCTTTATTTCTCCCCAAGTTAACAAAGTTGACCCACAATCTAAGTCTTAGCTAACAAGATAAATTGCCAGTTTGGACGTAATCCCTCTGTGACATGATCAATATGGTTTGTGGGGATTTTTAGCGATTGGTTTATGTAAATCTTGTTTCCAGATTACGGCTCATCCTTGTGCTTGGGGACCTTAAGAGTTTGGTTTGCCTTTCACCTGCTTATACTGCTGCTCATGAAATGGAAGCCAAGAATTAACAACCTTGTTTGGCCCAAAAAAACTAGACCAATGCTATAGGTTACCTGTTATGTTACATTCCATGTGGTTTCCATGTGTTTTAGGAAAGTGTTTTAGTACTCAGTACAGAGATAATTCGGTGTTAGACTTTAGAAGTTTCAAAACCTTTCAAGCAAAGTTTCTTTAAAGCATTAGCCAATTCAGAAACGTACAGTATACTGATACTTCTTACATTTCTTATCAGACAATAAAACTGCGGGATCATTGAACCTAAATCTTAAAAGCTAAATCATAAAAGAATCGTACAATCCTCTGAAAAACAACTTGACAACTTGTTGTTGAATTACCAGACATACTTAAATAAATCCAGGCAGATAGGTTTCAGAAATCAGGATTCAACTATAGCATCGATTCATAACACCAAAAATGACTGTGTCCTTTAGGCTATAGGCTAAAGATTAACAAGTGATTTGCAAATTGTGAAATAACTAACTATAGTTGACTGAGGCATGTATACAATATGTTATACTTTTAAGTGTTAAACTCGTTTAATTTACTGGCCAAATGATTCAAATTAAGTAAATAAAAAAAATAAAAAAATGTTATTCATTGCTGTTTACCTCTGATATATGTGTTGCTTGTGGACTTGCATGTAAAGTAATACTAAAGGAGACTCAGTGATTGGGCCCAACAGTTTATAACTTGCAAACTGGTTCGTTTATCCTTATTTTGATTAGTTCTCTTATGTGAAATCACAAAAGTCAATCAAGATGTCCCCAGATCTGGTCACAGATCGACACATTAAATGAGAAAACATGAACTGAAGATCCAAGATAGTTTGATTTAATTGATTCATTACCAATCTGAAACCTTCATTTAAAGCTATTGGAAAGCAAAATACAGGCCAAATGCGAACCAATATGTGGGCTCATTGGGTTGTTTACTATGTAAGTTAAATGCTAAGTTTATTAAATTCTGTTCAGTTGTGTCAATGTTGCGAAGTTCGTCAATTAAGAAACAAATTTGACTTCTCTCCTGCAGACAATAGCTCAATTCAGTTCAAGCTCAATACCAGTTCAAGATAATATCACTGAATATTAATGGTGTTTTAGAAGTGTCTTTCTAGATGTTAAACATGCTGCATGCACCCTGTTGTTTATGCTCAAATACAATCTAAAACATGTGATATTCTGCATTTGTAGAGCAACATGTGTTGCCTAATCATGTGCTTAGAGATTCCAGGGGGTGTTGAGCATAATTTGCATGGACAGGACAGATTATCCCAACAACATGTCCGGAAGATCACCCGGAGGATTATCTTCCTTTTCATCTCCATTTACCCCCAACTTTTCACACCAGGCAAGACTTTGAGGATTTTATAAAAGGCCATCCCGTCAGTATTTGGCCAGTCAGGCTGCTCATTGACTCCACCAGGACACTGTGCAAGAACAAGGCCACTAAAGGCGCAACCATGGATGTGTGGGCCTTTTAAATTATGAACCTCTCCAAAGTCAGCCCCTTCGAGGGCCCACAGTACCACCTGGCCCCCAAGTGGGCTTTCTACCTGCAGGCAGCTTTCATGGGCTTTGTATTTTTCGTGGGTGTGCCTCTGAACGCCATTGTCATTTTTGTTACAATGAAGTACAAGAAACTCTGACAGCCTCTCAATTACATTCTGGTGAACATCTCCCTATAGCAGGCTTCATTTTTGACACTTTCTCCGTAAGCCAAGTATTCCTCTTACTTCCTTGGTCATACGTTCTGTGCGATGGAATCGGCTATGGGATCAATTGCGGGTAAGACGGAGAGTCGACAAACTTTGAATGGCATAGACGTGACACTCTTAAAAATGACGTTTTTAATGGCATCTATGGTTCCATGAGGAATGTTTGACATCCATGGAACATTTCCAAGCCACAAAACATTCTTTATAGTGTAAAAAGGTTCTTAATTTTTTTTAAATGTTCTTCACACTAAGAAAAAGTTCAAGAACTGTTCACTGAAAGGTTTTTTTGGGGAATCAGAAAATGGTTCTTCTATGGCTTTGCTGTGAAAATTGTGTGCTGATGGATGTCTTTTTCTCACAGGTCTTGTGACGGAATGGTCACTGGCTGTCCTGCCTTTCGAGAGATACGTGGTTATCTGCAAACCCTTCGGAAGCTTCAAGTTCGGACAAGGCCAGGCTGCCGGAGCCGTGGTGTTCACCTGGATCATAGGTGTTGGTTGTGCCACTCCTCCGTTCTGGGGATGGAGCAGGTGAATTTCCTTTGCAAAATATTTGGAATCATGCATTTGTAATTCTAAGGACTGACTTTATATATATTTGAATTGACAGATACATTCCCGAGGGTCTCGGCACCTCCTGCAGACCTGACTGGTACACAAAAAGCGAGGAGTACTATTCAGAGAGCTACACTTACTTCCTCATGGTCACCTGTTTCATCATGCCAATAACCATACTCATCTTTTCCTACTCACAGCTCCTGGGAGCCCTACGTGCTGTAAGTATCCCAACTTTTTGCTTTTATACACCCTTGTGGACAAATGTAGATAAACATTTGTAGATATATATTTTTTTCAAGTAAATATTTGATTTACTTTATTGCGTGTATTCAGGCAATATTATTTAGGATTATCATAATATTATAGGCTACATATTATTTAATAATTATAATGAAATTTTTTGGCTTTTGATTTCAATTTCTGCGCATGCTTAACTAATTATATCAGTCTACTTTATGTTCTTTGATTCCAATTCAATGAAGCACAAATCGTTGTCAATGTTGGCAATTTTGTCAAATATTTCCTCAGGGATCTCACAATTTCTAGCCAATAAATTTCCATTTGTTTTCATTACTTTTCCGATTGGATACAGATTTTGAAAATGCTTCTTTTTAGCAATCATGTTCACACAGAAAAATCTAGAAGGTAAAATATTTGAAAATTAAGCATAACTACAGTAATTTATATTTACTTTAGAAATGACCATGATTTTTCCATGAGTTCTTATGATTTTAATTACTATGAATTTTCCAATCAGATATATTTTTTTCAGTATTGCTTTAAAATAATTAAATATATAATTAGTAATTAAATTCAGTATTATTTTAAACTTTATTGCATATATAATATGTGTGCGTGTGTGTGTAATATATATGACTATATATGTAATATATATGACTTTAACATTCCCAGAAATCACACTTTTAAAATTTGTAGGACTTTCAGGACTGAAAGCAGAATATGTGTGAATGCTTTATCAGAATAAAAATATATTTCACAAGCTTGAATTGTTTCAGCATTTACCCATAGATTGCAGGCCAGCAGGCTGAGTCAGCCTCCACCCAAAAGGCAGAGAAGGAAGTGTCCAGAGTGGTTAGTGATGGTTGGCTCTTATATAGTTTGCTATAGCCCTTATGCCATTAGTGCCATGTGCTTTGCCTATGCTGATGATGCGAACAAGGATTACCGTCTGGTGGCCATCCCTGCTTTGTTTTTAAAGAGCTCCTGCATGTACAACCCGCTAATCTACGCCTTCTTGAACAAACAGGTGAGATGGACAACACATATGCATTGAATAACAACACTACACATGCAGACAGACGCTAATACTCAGTCATTTTGTGTTCCAGTTCAACGCCTGCATCATGGAGACTGTATTTGGCAAGAAGATTGATGAGGGCTCAGAGGTTTCCAGCAAGACCGAAACCTCTTCTGTGTCCGCATAAAATATTCCACACCCCATTTACATCTTTTCTGGACCTGTTTTCTTGTTATCCTCCCCCTGATTGTTCAAATCCTGCACCTTTACATCTTGTCAGCGCCTTTACATCTTGTCAAGGGTCGAGGGAGTCCCTTTGTCCCAAAGATACAGTCCGCTGGATGGCCAAACCGGAGGGCGTTATCCTAACATCCTTTCTTTGCAGAACTGGTAATGAAATTTTTTTGTAATGGAACTGGTAATGGATTTTTTTGTAATGAAAAACATTGCGATTTCATGTTAAAACAATGCATTATGCATTGACGATGAAGTAGAATATTTAATTTTCAACTTTCACAAGAAAATATTAAAAAAAAGAATAAAAATAAAATAAAACAAATAAAATAAATAAAAATGAGACATCCTCTGATGTGAATGGACTTGTGCAAACTGAAAATGGAAATTCCTGATTTTGTTTTTAAAATTTTCAATAGTAGAATTTATTCTATCACAATGAGATCTTCAGTAAACTAGTAACCTAAAAGCCCATACCAATCAAAACGGCTTGCTTCGACAAAACAGCACAGCATAACTAAGCGGTTTACTCTCGTCTTCTCTAAAGAACTTACTAAAGCCCAGCTTTCTGGCTGGATTAGCCAAGATATACAAGATCACAAGGGAATTATCCAAGTCTATCTGCTTGTTTGCAGCGGAGGATCCGTTCACTGGAAGTTTGATGGTAACAAATCATGAGCGACAGCTTTTGTCCAATCACTGGCTTCATGACATTGGATCTCAAATATCTGTATCTATATTACTTCTGTACATGTTTTGTTGTAAGTAGACATACGGTGTGCATGAATTTGTACATGTGCCCGGATTTTAGAATGGATAAAGATTTATATTGTTTGATGCATTTTTTCTTGTACCTGTTAATTTCTATTAATCAACCTAAATAGCCTTTATCCCATCGGTGGGAAGATCAACATTGTTTCATCATTAAATGGTAATTAGTCAGTAAATGAAAAGTCGGTTGATAAATTCCAGGGCTATAATCGTTAACTAAAACTAAATTAAAACTAAAAACATAAAAAAAAACTATTTTTGTTACTTGAAATAAAATAAACGTTGACTGAAATAAAAGAAAATATTTTATAACTATATTTTTATTTCAGCTTGTTGCCAAGGCATTAAGTACTAAAATATCTAAAGCTGAAACTGAAATAAAACATATATAGACTACTAAAAATGAATAAAAACTAATGAAAATTATGAAAACATTTAACAAAATTACTAAAACTTTAATTAAAATTAAAAGTGGAAAATATAAAAATTAAAATGAATTCAAAATATTAATAAAAATTGTAATAGTATATCAATGACACTAAACACTGATAAAGGCTACTGATGCAGGATGATAGATTTAAACATAATACATATTACTTTGAAATTATATTTACTCTGTTAACTTACAATAGGTAAGTAGAATAGGTACATAAGCAAAAATGAACTTTGCATCTGGGATAAAACGAAACCAAACAAATTGTTATTGTAAAATACTGACATGAAAATAATTAAAATTTCAGCCATAATTTAGTTTTATTGACAATTTGTTGTTTTCAAGATACAATCTGTAGGTGCTGAAATGGCACCACTTGAAGGAAGTCACCTGAAGCCACTGGGTGCCAAAACATTTTATAAAGAAAAAATAAAATGCATTCAAAAGACTAATGGACCACAAAGTACGTTGTTATGTTTGTAACATAGCAAACATATTGCAAACTTCTCATAATTGACAGTGTATTTCAAATAATGAAGCTGAAAGCAACAAACTATTCAGTAACATGTTCGATTGGACCCTACAAACCAAAACAATTTGAAGTTTTAGCCATATAGCCCTAATCTAAAGATCCAAATCAAATAAAAAAATGCAGTGAAAGGCACAATGAGAGTGTGTCTATTAAAGAAAACAAACATCTTATTATCAATAAAAAAAATTCATGGATGCGTGACTGAATAAGACAAGTTTTTTTTTCTAAATAAATATTGAAAGAAAAAAAGGATATTGCCTTGAGAAGATCATGACCTATGGCTCTAAAATCAAAGCTTGTGCCAAGACAATTACACACTGTGTGAGTTTATAATGTGTTTATATGTATAAAACTATATACATATTCACATATACATGTGTGAATATATACATGCATTTTATACCTATCTGTATAATCCCTCAGAAGAAGCCATTCTGAGAGCTTTCTGTACTTACAGTATCCTAATGAGCAGGACTGTGAACAGCAGGGGGAGCTGATCATAGATCAGAAGCAACGGGTATAAAACTGCCTTGAATCTAGCTCTGAATAAACCTCTTCACATGCTTCGCTTCGGCTTCTGCGTGGTCGTAGTCGGCCGGCAGGATCCAGTCCATGGTCTCCTCTTTGTCCATCTTCCCATCCTTGTTCTTGTCTCTAAACTCTGAAAACTGCTCTCGCTCGGTTGCCACCCATTCTGGCTCGTCCATTTCATCCTCGTGGTTGTACATGTCGCCTGATATTCAAGAAAATTCAACCGATGTTGAGCTATACTGACAAATTAAAATTATGCAATTCACACTGACTCACATTAAAGCTTTTAAAAGATTTTGTAAGAGAGTTTCCAATTTAAAACATATCTAATACTGTAGTTCACTCACCAATATACTCATCCAGGCCAATAAAACCATCACCATTCTTATCAATGTCCTCCATAGTTTCCTAATGAAAAAATTAAAAGATTAGTGAAACAGGTTACAGAAAAGACAGACAAAGCCTAGTAACTATGTAAAAATCTAAATGATCCTGTTTATGTCCTTCATACATGTTCCTGGTCTTATTAAGCAAAATGCATCAATGCACGTTATGAAGGAAAAGAAAGTTTGCCATTTTACTTTTTCATTAACTTTCATTTGACGTCACCAATTCTCAATGGATAAAATTATGCCTCATCCAACATTTTACCACTATTACACACTGCCATTCAAATGTTTGGGGTCAGTAAGATTTTTATTTTTGGCATAGAATTAATGCTTTTATTCAGAAAAGTTGCATTTATTTGATTAAAAGTGAGAGTAAAGACATTTGTATTGTTATAAAAGATTTCTGTTTCAAATAAATGCTGTATGTTCTGAACTTTCTATTTATTAAAGAGGCATGAAGAAAAAAAAAAGTATCACGATTTCCACATATTATGGAGCACAACTGTTTTCAATATTGATGATAAGAAATGTTACTTGAGCACCACACCAGCATATTAGAATGATTTCTGAAGGATCATGTGACACTGAAGACTGGAGTAATGGCTGATGGAAATTCAGCTTTACCATCACAGGAATAAATTACATTATAAAATATGTTAAAATATAAAAGAGTAATTTTAAATTGTAATAGTATTTCAGAATATTACTGATTTTACTGTATTTTTGATCAAATAAATGCAGCCTTGGTGAGCACAAAAGACTTCAGGGTAGAAATGAGTTTACAGAAGTTAAATGGGATACAAACAGGCTTCACATTAACTTTAACCTAGTATAGAACCGACTTGCCAATAATAACAGACCCACCAACACAACAATGTCCTTCATATGCTCATACTCCTCAGGATGGAGGAAAGCAGTGAACTCCTCTTTGTCAGCGATGTGATCTCCATTTCCATCAGCCAGTTTGAAGCGCCGTTCATCTCTAGCCATCATCTGCTTGTAGTTGTAGCCATCATCAGACTCAAGATCATCTATAAGAACACAGATAGAACAAATGATTATTAAAACACTTATTGTAATTCTGCTTGGATATGCTAGTGATGTAAAAACTACACAATTCACCTTTAAATGTTTTAAGGGGTACACACAAAAATGACAATTCTGACATTATTTACTTACCCTCATGTTGTTCCATATCTGCTTGACTTTCTTTCTTCTATGGAACACATTTTGAAGAAAAATTCTACAATTTTAAAGAAAAAAAAAGTGTTTTTGTTCATAAAATGAACGTCACTGGCCCCGTTGACTTTCATTATATAAACAAAAAATATATATTTTGTGTTCCACAGCAGAAGGAAATTCATACAGGTTTGGAACGACATGAGTGTGCGTAAATGTTAATTAATTAATGTTAATTTATTTTTTGGGTGATCAATTCTTTAACCTGGTTTATAAAAACAGACCGCAATTTTACCAAGGTAGGTGCCATAAGTGACATTCTTGTATTCGTCCCAGGAGATCATGCCATCATTATTCATGTCAAAATCCTTCCACTGTCTTTCCACATTGTCATAGATGTACTTCTTCTGAGCCTTTTTGATCCATGCTTTCAGCTCTGCCTCTGTGACGAAGCCATCCTCGTCTGCATCGATCTTATCCACAATTTTACTGAAAGGCAGCACAAAAAGAGCAAAAACATACGGATATAAATTAACTATAAGAGTGTGTTTTCTCTTAATCGTTTATTTTATATTGAAACGACCAACTCTCAATGAAAATGAATGACTTCCGGTCATCTTGTTGCTGCGAATCACTACTAAATTCCCCTTAACACTCAGCACAATCCTTACCCAAGCCTATTCTTGCTTTCCTCTGGGGTCAGGTCATCAAACGTCTTGGCTTCCTCTTCCCCAAGGAAGGCATCATGGTCATAGTCAAAGTTTGTGCCGTCGTCATGCTCCTTGCTGCTCAGTGGTGCATCATGGAAGACACGCTCCTTCTTCTCTGTGGGTTTGCTGGTGGCGTATACCACGCACAGAGCAAAGCACATCAACAGAGGCCTAATCTCCATCTTCATCACATAAACTCTGGTGAAAGAGAGAGCATATATTAACATATATACATCCCAAATCCCTTTTAAACTAAAATAAATACTTATCACAGGTATTTCTAATGTGGCGATGTTTAAATAATCCAATGTGCAAACAAAATTTTATGTGTTGACAGGGTCTGTTTGAATCAGTGAATGTAAACACTGTATGTTTGACTAAGAAGTGTGACGTGCACTACCGTTCAAAAGTTAGTCTCTTATGTTCACCAAGGCTGCATTTATTGGATCAAAAATACAGTAAAACAGTAATATAGTGAAATATTATTACAATAATTCAACACAACTGTTTTCTAATCTAATATATTTACAATGTCATTTATTCATGTAATGTCAAAGTTGAATTTCCAGCAGCCATTACTTCAGTATTCAGTGTCACGTGATCCTTCAGAAATGATTCTAATATGCTGATTTGCTGCTCAAGAAATATTTCGTATTATTGCCATTGCTGGAAACAGCTGTGCTGCTCAATTTTTTTTGTGGAAACCAGAATTCACTGCTGATGCTGAATACAAAGAAAAAGCTGTTATTTGAAATCGAAACCTCCTGCAACATTATAAATGTCTTTACTGTCACTTTTGGCCAATTTAATAAGTCCTTGCTGAATAAAAATATGAATTCCTTGGGGGAAAAAATTGCTAACCTTAAACTTTTAAAGGGCAGTGTAAATGTGTGTAACAGGGGGAAAAGAACAATCCACACTGGCAAAATATCAGGCAGAATTTCTGACAGGAAACACCGTCGACATGAACAAAAATGTGTTTCCAGAGAATGGGGAAAAAATAAAAGGGGAAATAAAAAAAGGTGAAAATGACAAGTGCCCAAGACCCACCAACAAAATTAGCACAAAAACATAATTATGTAATTTTAGACTCAATTAGAGATCATTCACACCAGAAATAAATCACATACGACAAATTTATAAACAGATTGATTAGGATTTACCTGGCAATAAGATGTTCTTGCCTTTCAAAGTACACAATAGCTCTTTACTAGTGATTAACCAAAAGACAGATATAATCACGATAATCTGAGCAGCACAAACACAGGCAAAAAAAAAAAAGTTTCCTTACAACACATTTAAGATGTGAAGGTCACCATTCACTTTTAGAGCATGGAATAAGACGCAATGAAAGTGAATGGTGACTGGGGCTGTCAGTCTTCTAACCTTTTTTGTTTTCCACAGATGAAAGGAAGTCATAGACATTTATATCAACATTGGGGTGAGCAAATGATGACAAAATTTTATTATTTTGGTAACCTATCCCTTTTACGTTCAATACTAACTGTCACTTTAAGTGAGTCGGCATTACAACGTACACGGTCAGTCAATGCAGTGGTCAATCACATGACTAAAGACCAAACATGCAAAAGAGTATCAAACCGTCTATAAAATACAAACATACCTAGATTTAATACGAGGCCGAGAATCCCAGATATAATACCGCGTCTTTGGTTTCTGCACACCCCTGTGCCACACCGTTTTTCAGGCTGGGGTAACGCAGCGATCCAATCACAGCCCAAACAGTGGAGTCCATCCACTGCCATTGGGCCACTTCAGCACAACGAACCCCGGATGTAATGGAAACCGTTGTTTAAAAACGCGCGACTCACCGCACTCTCTTTTGATTGGCTACAGTAAATATGAAAACCAATCAGCGCCGAGGCTTCAAAATCTTTTGATGCATTGCTCGAGTTTATTGCACGTCTTGCCACGTCCCCAATTTTGAGACCCGCAAATTCTCGCGGAAAGGTGCTGCTGCCATGCTTGTACTGAACATTATTTGTAAAAGTTATGAATGTACACGGTCAGTCAATGCAGTGGTCAATCACATTACTAAAGACCAAACATGCAAAAGAGTATCAAACCGTCTATAAAATACAAACATACCTAGATTTAATACGAGGCCGAGAATCCCAGATATAATACCGCGTCTTTGGTTTCTGCACACCCCTGTGCCACACCGTTTTTCAGGCTGGGGTAACGCAGCGATCCAATCACAGCCCAAACAGTGGAGTCCATCCACTGCCATTGGGCCACTTCAGCACAACGAACCCCGGATGTAATGGAAACCGTTGTTTAAAAACGCGCGACTCACCGCACTCTCTTTTGATTGGCTACAGTAAATCTGAAAACCAATCAGCGCCGAGGCTTCAAAGTCTTTTGATGCATTGCTCGAGTTTATTGCACGTCTTGCCACGTCCCCAATTTTGAGAGACCCGCAAATTCTCGCGGAAAGGTGCTGCTGCCATCCTTGTACTGAACATTATTTGTAAAAGTGATGAATGGCGTAGCAGCCTCGAATTTTAATGGTTGGATTACCTAAATTTAAGTAATGCCAGGTTTAGACATTGATGACATTTAGCCATTCATTACGCTACTTGTAATTTAAAGTTACTAGCTATTTAAACTACGTTACACATTTAAGTAGTAGTGATGGCGAAATTATAATGTATCTGTGTTTATTACGGGATGCTTTACCACCATCTGCTGTTTAAACAACAATAATCAGTATCAGCTACAAGCAAACAACAAACAAACAAACAACAGATGTAATAATAAATAATTGTAATAAATAATAAATAACTGTAATAAATTAGTAGACTAAATGCAGCATTAATTACACTTTTATTGCAGAAAACACATTGACTACAAACTGACGTAATACAGAACAATTTTACATTGAGAACCCAAAAGCAGAGGAACATGGCTTTCTTCTTCATATTTAAGTAATTTTCAATTTATTCCCAGATGACAGAGACGTCAGGTTTACAGTTTGAAAATCTGCATTCATAAATGTAAAATCAACATAGGAAAACAATCTTTTGTGGAATCTGAAGCAAAATACCCAAATATAATAATTGTCAGATGAACTGAATGTTACATCTGACAAAGGCAACAATATCACTTAAAATAATCTGAGAGTAATGACATTACCTAAATTTGTTTCTGTAGAATTTAAACAAAAAGAGCATGTTATGTAAGCTATATAGCAATGTCAGCTCTTTTTGTATACATTTTAAGTTGAAATGATACTTCTTTTATTTGTGAGAAAAAATGTTTCCCCCAATTTAATATATTTACCGTATTGGCCCGAATATAAGACGACCGCATTTTTTCAGATGTATTTCCAAGAAAAAAACATCGTCTTATATTCGGGACAATACGGTAAATTGTTCCGCAAAGAAAATCAAATCTGACCAATGAGAGTATCATAATAATTTTTTACTACTATTGCTATTACTACTACTACTAGATAGTTATACACCTTTTAACCTAAACCCACCCCTAACCCTCACACGAGACCTTTCTGCATTTTTACAATTTAAAAAAAAAACGTTGTTTAGCCTACTTTATTTTTATACCAGTTTTACAAATGAGGTTGTCAATTTTGTCAGGTTTTACTCACTTTTGGGTGAAAAATTTGTCCCCAAAATATGGTCAAGTAGGCGCGCACGCACACACACACAGTGCAGTAAAGCGTCATAACAAATCGGTTTACAGCAGTGCGCATGCGCGTATCCAGGGACGCTGCAGCCTCACCAAGGTAACGGCAAAGCCTGTAACCGAATCTAATCTTACTCCACCAAGCGTGAGACAAAAACACTTCTTTTGTTCACGGACCTGTCTGTGCACTAGTCACCACTGGCTCAGAATGCCTGTGCGTTTTAAGGTAAATTAATTAAATTATCATCCACTGGAAACTGTTTATAACATTGTCAGTTAGACCAGATTGAAGGTGCACGAGCTCGTGCGACTTCATTTGTTTGAGGAAAAGAGAGCGCGCGCTGCAGGCTGCAGAAATGCTTTCAGTTTTGAGATTTATTTCGGGTGTTTACATTTAGGTAACTAAATATACATGAATACGAACCCGTGTAATATATAGTTTACGCTTTGCTGAAAACAAATAGAAACGATGTGATTTTATTAAGAAGCGTCTTAAACGGTAAACCCTTTACAAGTTACCGTCGGTAACGTTCTGTTTTTATACAGTCTATGGTAATGTTACTTCCTGTTATGTCTTGAAGAAGTTTGTGCGCGGATTAAAAGGCATCAAGATTATACAATTGTCACTTAAGAACTAGTTATTAAGCAGGGCTTTTCTAATAAATCAAAGATATATCATTTCCCAGACCGCTCATTTGAATGTGCAGATTGTATAACATACTAAATGTAAAGTGTGCTTTACTTATGCTATAAAGTGTACTTGTTTTCTGTATGTTTTAATTCTAATAGGGAATCAGCGAGTATCTAAGTAAATACAAGGGTCGAACAACACGATCCAGAAGCGATTCTCCACATCGCAGGATGCGACTGGCAGGACTGCGCTCTGACCAGTCAAGTATGTACTGGATGGATGGATGGATAGATAGATAGATAGATAGATAGATATTGTCTGACGATTGATCAATATTGTCAGACTATAGATAGATAGATAGCCTAGATAGACAGAAAGACATAGACAGACAAATAGATAGATAGATAGATAGATAGATATTGTCTGACGATTGATCTTTATTGTCAGACTACAGATAGATAGATAGATAGATAGATAATATCAGATGATTGATTGATAATGGCAGATGATAGATAGTCAGATAGATAGATAGATGTGTTGATAGATGTGCCTTACTAAAATTAAAAAGATTATCACACAATAAATTAAAATTGAATTGATTGATCTTTCTTCTTGCATTTAAAGGAATTACTCGGGAACCCCAATTCATATCGAAGAGGAAAGTGCCATTTTATCCACCTCAGATATCCAGTTCTTTCCGATGGGAAGGGCATGATCCATCTCCACAGTGTCAGGAGAAGAGTAGGCCTGTCACTCCTCCAGCTGTCACACCTGTGCTCAGACTCAGAGCCTCTAGTGCAGAAAGAGTAGTGACCCCTCTTGCCCCAAGAGACCCCGTGCCACCAGAGGGCACCGCTGCACCATCCCAACAACTACAGGCAGAGGAGCAAGCAGCTCAGACATCCACCCCTGCTGCAGACCAGCAGCAACAGAATGGAGTGAGTCTGGTTATAAATGAGTGTGGAAAATAACTTTAAATAACAATAACGCAAAATGGCAACACATTTAAGGAGGCCCATTTGTAGTTCTGTTCATATGTAGTCCTTTCAATAAACAGAATATCTGACCAGAGTATGTGGACGAGCATGTTTTCCCCCCTGAGGTTTTACCGACTGTTTTGGAGTTTTTCGTCACCGTTTCTCTGATACCTTATCACAAAATATAAGGCTTCTATACCACAATTAATTTTACGTAATAAAAAATCTTTATTATAAACATTTAAAAAATGTTCAAAATCATTTATAACTCTGTAATTAGTGTATAACAATTAGAATAGTATTTTTAGTTATTAATACCATCATTACTGCAGTTACAGTTATTCAGAGCTTGTGTTTTCTATTAGATTAACCATGGCCTAGGGAAAAGAGCGGGACTGAGATCGGAGCGACAGAGGAATGGCCGTTTGAGCTCTGAGTACCAGAGGCAGTTCATGTGGAAAACGCCTGTGGCCGATTCGCCCATGCTAGCTGCTCATGAGGTACTTTTTTGCATTTTTATGAGCATTGTCATAATTCAAAATCATTTTTAACATGACACATTGGTTTGCATCCAGTCCTTTATTATATTTCCTGACCAGATTATCTGACATATTGGACACAGCGCTTTTTGTCACATGATGTGTTCCTTATATTGATAGAAATTAGTACTAAAATATTGTGTAATTGAATGCCAATAAAAAAATCCTTATCCACTAGATGGTAGTATAGAGATGTTCATGTCAGTGGATGCATGATTACTTGATATATATATATATATAAATGTATATATATATATATATATATATATATATATATATATCATTTTATTTGAATTGCTTATTGAAAAAAAATTTTTTTTATTAAACTAATGATAATTACAAAGAGCAACAATACTATCTTTCTCAGTAGTATCTTGTTATCAGAATGCCTTCATCAGGTTCATTTTTTGTGTTTTGGATTATTTCATATCTGTTTTAGATGTTGTACAGTAACAACAGAGCCACCTTCAAATCAAACCCAGTGATTATGGAGAGTGAGTACAAGAGAAGTTTCAAAGTATCACCTCCTTCCAGACCACCACGCTTGAGGCGAGATGTTGAACAATACGAGGTCCCACAGCTTGATGCAGAGAACACAACCCCAGAGAAGGTACACAGAAATATCTACATTCAGCTTTGTCATATACGTCAATGGACACAGACTTTCCAAATATCACTGCATAACTATGGAGCTGGATAAACCAGTTTCACTAACCTGTTAGTTCCTCGTAATTTTTTTACACATTCTATATGCATAGTCCTCATTGCACAGTAAGGAAGTATACATTTTCGAAAATGTTTGCACCTTTGACGTGGTTTGTCATGTGCTTTTGCCTAAATGCCCATCATGCCAGAGTAAGGGGAACAAGAAGAAGAAGAAGAAGAAGGAGCGACAACAGAGCAGGAAGTCAAGCCCCAAAGAGGAAGTCACCCATCGACAGCAACA